ATGCAATAAAAAGTTATGATTGTACCAAAAAAACTTACTTAATTTTGAATCCCAGTGACCCCTTCTCATCATTAAGATGTGTGAGGAAAAATAGTTTATGGAGAAAACAGTTATTTTCCCATTTGTAGAGTATTTAAGTTATATTATTCCTATTTATTGCACAAACTTAAGTATGACAGATAAGAAGTCATGTGCCATCTCAGACCTTTAAAACCTTACTTAATAAAATGGAAATTTTTAATGGTTTAGAGCAGATTATATGCCATAGTTTGTGTTATCCTCAAATAGTATTTTTAAGCTCTTGAGCTCATTTTGGTTGGATTTATAAGCATCTTTATGTTTGATGATACTCTTATTATTTTTAGATTGTGAGAGTAGCTGCTAGTGAAATGAAAATATTGTGAAGAACACAGAATGACAGGATATTTTCTGATATAAATTTCTGCCTGATTTGCTTCTATTTGATGTTTCTTTTTGATAGGAAACACTAAAGGGAAGAATAGTCCATCACTTCCTCTCCAGAAGAGACACTTATATTGTGTTCCTCATTCTGGTTGCAAAACATACACACTGGGATGTTTTATTTGATTGATTCTCAAGGGCAGCCTTAAAATAAACAGTAATGATATCAATCATGCATGAAGCTCATATGATCATACTTTTTTTTCAGTAAGCACAGAAAGTTATTATAGTTGGAGCAAAGCTTCAGAGGGATGCTTTTTATGCTGACAACTAAATTTGCATTGATTCATTCATCACTAAACTTTACAATTTGTGGTACCTCAATTCTTTTTATCTCTATAATTTAAGGTTTAAAACTGTGTATTTTTCCCAGGAAAATGGGGGATTTGAGGAAGGCGGTTGGCTACAGATATTCATGTTAACTCTTTCCTGTCTGATTTTTTAAGAGTATAAATATTTGGGATTGTCAGTTATCAAAGTGAGAGATATTTTTAGTCTGGTGATAAAAGCCTGCTATAGAAAGAGGGTGCATTTGGTTTTGTTTGTTTAGCTTGCTTTTTAAGAAGCAAAAAGGAACATCTCTTACAGCTAAGAAAGGGTCAGACACCACCAGGAGTAGTACTATAGCAGAGATTCAATACATTGCTCTATTTTTATTTCAAGTGGAACACTTTTAAAGTTTCAGTATATACTCATTTAGGAAAAGATTTTTGTCTATCATTGGATCCCTTTTTTAACAGTTGGTCTTTCAGTATGTGATAATTAGCATGATGTAAGAAAACATTGCTAATATTAACTAAAAGTCAAAAACTGTTGTCATTGGACAGCAGTCTGAATCAGAGGTGTTCATTGGTCATAAGCAGCTAAATTATTAAGAAAGAATTATGATTTAATATCTACTGTCTTAAAAATCATTTTGTTCCCAAAATAGTTATCTTACACAGGGATTTTCATGAACCTGTGGTTTTTTTTTGGTATGCTGTAAGCATTTTGTTATGAAATTTGAGATAGAGTATAATTCATGATAGTAATGCCTCTCACATCATCAACTCTGAGTAATTTGTCATATATTACTTATATGAATAACATATTTCCTATCAATTTCTAAACAATGGCATACATTTCCAGTGAGGAAAAAAATTACCAGCCAATTTAGTGGTAAAGTAAAAACTTATAAAACTCTAAAGGATGCATATATCAAAGCATAAGATGATTACTCTTTTGTGACAGAAAAAGTCTTCATATAGCAAAGATTGATTTTGTTGTTCCTGATTAAAAAAAGCAGAGACAGTTTAGATTTCAAAGGGGTCTTTTATGACAAATATAAATTGAGTATAACTATTTCCTAAGTTTTTCTTGCAATATGTTTATTTAACTGATTTATGATTTATTCACCTTTGTCAGGATTGTCTGCATGCACCTAAAAAGTCAGAGTTGGCATTGGGCACTTTTGTATTGCAAATAAATTTGGTAATAATTGATTATAAGACATTTCAGAAATAAAAAGTATATTTTATAGAATTTTACATTTTTATATTGGAACACTGTTTTGCTTTTCTCTTGTTGCTTGTTTAAAAAATAAAGATGCATTATTTCGTTTGCTCATGGAAGAACGGTGGTACCATGCCTTCTTGAGTAAAGGTTTTCTCCTGAATATAGCCCATAATTCTCCACCATAGCAGTTTATAACTGGTCAACCACAGGGGATGCATGCATGATTCATCAAGATTTTTATCTACTGCCAGATTGCAGGTTGAACCTGACATCTCAAATATGCTGGCCAGTTAGGGTGCTCATAAGGGTGCAAAGCTATGACAAGCAGACCAGGAGGCTCAATTGTTTTAAGATTCTTTAGCTTCTCCTACATGTCCCACCTTGACTATGCCTTTCTCTGTTCAGAGTTGCCTGGGCAGGTTCATTCAGATTTACAATTATTCATGAAACCATTACATACGAACATATGCCAGAGAGGTCACCTTTCTCCTACTATCCCCTTGAGAAATCCAAGGAGAGCAATAGTCCAAGTTCATCCCTCTCCATACAGCTGGGTTTTGTCTTTCATTCTCTTTGTTACCAAACAACAATAAAGCTGGGTTCAGTGACAGCTCTCCTATTTGTGAAATCAGGTTAAAAATGAAGAACCTAAAGTTCCTACTTTTTCTTAATTAAGGTAACTAACGTAAGATTTTAGTGCACTTGTTCAGTGCTATAATTCTTTGGATTAATCAATAACTCTATATTAAATTATATAACTGACCTGTGTCAGTTACTCAAAATGTACTTCTTCAGACTGTTTGGTAGAGGACCAATTGGAATTATTTGGGGACTAAAAAAGAAATTGAACACTGGAATTAATGAATTAAATTTATTCAGTGTTGTAAGATAACTATTTATTTACACTCCCTTAAAGAAGTTTTTGACCTTTTAGTATGTATATTGAAATTGATAAATTTTCATATTACTTTCTATCACAATTTAAACATCTGTGAATGTAGTAATACTCATCACTTTATTTTTCCTTGCATAGAAATATAATAATTAAGAGCACATATTCTGGAACTAGACGGCCTGGGTTCTGATTCCATCCTTTTTGTCTGCAAGTTTTATATTAAGAGGCAAGTTAGTTAGTTAATCTCTGTGAGCCTCAGTTTAACTGTCTGTAAAATCTGAATACTCTGAGTAATTGCCTCACATTGTTTTGGTGATTAAATAAATAAATGTATATTGTGTGTGTGTGTGTGTGTGTGTGTGTGTATTGTATATGTATATAATAGCTAATAGCTTAAAGCATGCCTTCACATGGTTAAACACTCAATATTTTATAGATTTTATTTATTTATCATTTTGATACAGGATCTTGCTCTATTGCCCAGGCTAGAGTATAGTGGCATGATCATAGATCACTATAGCCTCAACCTCCTGGGCTCAAGCAATCCTCCCACCTCAGCCTCCTGAGTAACTGGCACAACAGGCTCATACCACCATACCCAGCCTTTTTTTGTTTGTTTTTTAATTTTCATTGAGACAAAATCTCACTGTATTTTTCAGATTGGTCTTGAACTCCTGAGCTCAAGTCATTCTCCCTTCTTGGCCTCTCAAAGTGCTGGGATTACAGACTGAGCCACCATACCTGGCCACATGTCACTATTATTAATGGAAAATAAAGGTTGATGAGGAGGTAATTGGCATGATAGCATCTAATGACAAAAAAGTCTATCAAGTTAGAACATATCAACTGGTTTAGGAAGATTTTATTTAAACACCTTTTCCATTTCTTAAAAATATAATGTACTGAAAATCAACCAAGCTAATATCAGTACATTTTCTTCCCATAGGTTTTTCTTAGATAGTTTAGTTCAGGAATGTGATTTTCACATTTTGTCATCATTGGTTATTAACATAGAATATCAAGTTCAGCTCACACCTTCTTTTACAACATTGAGTTCGCTGAAATCTGTCCATCTTTTTTAATGCCATAGAAAATAAATAGGCCTTTATAATTCACTAGGCCATTTTATTTTAATTGGATTAAGCCCCAGTTGCTTCCTTTCCAAAGCAGCTCTGTTACACCTTAAATTCTGAACAAAAACAAAAACGTCTTTCAAAAATTATGTATATGGGAGGGATAAGAATGGACTGAAAAAGAAATTAACTGTTTTTTACAGTAACAAAAAAAATAGTGAAAAACAGATTGTGTCCATATAACATTGGAAATGGTGAGATAGCTAGCAATGTGGTGTAACTGAGCACTGGGGAGAAGTTGAAGGAGGTGGGCTTTAATGCTTGTTCCTTCACTAACTTGGCTTTGAACTTGCACATATCATTTCTTTGATGCCTTCATCTGCAAAAATGAGATGTGAACTAAATTGTCACTAAGGCCATTTACACATTTGAAATTTTATAGTAGTAAGCCTAGAAGCTTTAGTTTATATAGTGAAAGCAGGGTCAAGCAAGATTGACCCTGTAAATTTGGTAACAACTGTATCACAAAGGTAGATAGTTCAGAATTTTTTTCCTGAACTAAATGACATGAGGAAATACAGAATCTATAACTTAAATCTAACATGTGTTATCATCTGTTGGAAATCATCCTAGCTTTCTGCTGAGTAGTAAATACATTGGCAGCAAATGATATGTAATTTTAAAATCTACTTTTGACCAACGTAGCAAACCTTAAAAAATAATTTTAAAAACATAGTTTAGTGTTATTTCAAAAAATAAATGCCATCTACGAGTGGAACTTCAATCATAAAATGGCAAGATGGAATAAGTTCAAAATCTAGGTTTTAACAGTTTTTGGGAGGGAGTGTCTCAAAATATAAATTTGTCTCTCTGTATATGTATACAAATATACACATATGTTATAGAGAAATAAAGTGCTTATTCTGTAATCTCCATTTGCCCATTGTGGGAAATAATTTGGGTATGTGGTTCTTTGAGGGTTTTTTGTTCTTCACCACATATTTGATTTTGAATATGAGAAATTAGATCTCATTTGTTTTATAAAATATGCAGTTTATGTGAACAATAAAAAATTTCATTGTAAAAGAACCAAATACTAAGTAATATATGTGACATTCACATTTTCTTTTGCCTTATTTTTCTTTTACTCGGGGATGTTATATATAGATTTTGAGGTTATTCATGAAACCATATTTGATTGCTGCTTCCTGTCATTTAACACTCTGAATGTATATTTTTTGCTTGGTGTTTTACCACAACTGTTTGGCATTGTGCATCCTTGGGTTTGGATAGTGGCATAGCTTGATGAGCCATGTGACAGAAGCTGCATGTGACAGAAGTAGCCCCTAACCTTTGATTAAATGTGACCTCTTGGTGTAGTATATAAAAAAAGGCTAGAGGGAGCTATTGAGCTGTTTAAAGACTCCAATGACTTGGAAGAATTTGGTTTAAAATCAAGGACAAATACTAGGTGTAATCAGATGCTGCAAAATGAATTATAGCCAATTGCAGATTTTGGAGAATTCAGTGAACACAGTTCATGATTTAAAATATTAGCTGGTTTCCTGAGAGTCACTTAGCACCAGTGATTACATATGTATTTGATGAACTAAGAAAAAAATTAGCACTTTTCTGGGGAAAAAACATTCTGGGCATGGCAGTATAACAAAGAATGTTATAATGCAGAAATGCTCTACATTTCTCTTATTTTTAAGTGTGTAAGAGATCAGAAACTATGCATTGTAGTGACTGTAGGTGTATTTGGTTTTCCTGTTTTAAGTAACATGACTAATGAAATAATTGTGGTTTTATAGATTAGAGGTGGAATACATTTAATTTGATAATGCCTTTTAGATTATGTGTAGCAAAAATTCAATTTTAAAAGCTCATGAGACTAAAGTGATTTTAATTTCTAATGTTTACCATTAATCATTATTGAATAAATACTTTTCAATGAAAGCAGATTTTAAAATACAGTTTTTACCTATTCTTGTGTAAGAAACATCCACAAAAGTGTGAAACAGTGTGGTTTCTTTAAATAGGAGCATAATAAATGTTTTTAGTTGAGCAGATTATTATCTGACATTTGGTGGGGAGGGGTGGGGAATAACAAAGGCACATGCTAATGCATTAGGGCATGCCAGCATTTAATTAAAATACGATAACCTACTCATAAGCATCACTAAGATTTTTTAAAGTTTTTTAATCTAGTCACTTAAGTGAGCTTTGGATTATTGAAGTAAGTCATGGGCCCTGAAAACAGAAAAATTTTCTCAAGAGAAACAGTCAGTCCTTAGAGTGATGTATTCAAATGACCAAAGAAACCCAAATAAACTACTCACTGAAATGGAATCTTTCAGTATTTGTTTTAGCCACGTTTAAGTTAAGGAAGAATAAACTGCCCTTTTAAAGGGGAAGCTGGATAGTTTTATAAACTTCATTTCATGCCCCCAAATTGCATGCACCTGATGTGATGTCAGTGGAATGTAGGCATGTGCCTCTGCATGCAGCTGATATGGTCAGACCCCTAATGATGTCAGTGGAGGTATTTTTCCATGGGAACGTTCACAGTTGAATTCCTACCATGTGTTAGTAATTTCTCATTGTTTATAATAATTAGATATTTGTTTTTATTTTAGATTTCTAATGTCTGTGCATTCATTCCTTCTTTAAACAATTGTGGTTCCTTCTCATGCTCTACTTGCTTCAGCTAGTTGGCATCTTAGGGATTTCGTATTTTACTTACATTGCAGGACCCAAGGCTTAGAATTTGGGAAAAATTATGAGAAGTCACATTTTTACCCCTCACTTCTGTCATCATTAATAAAGTAAAATAGTTTCAAATAACTTACAGAAACAAATGTATACTCAATGGTTTATATAAAATCAAGAATACACATAAAAAATGTCAAGAGCACTACTAAGATATGACTAAAATCCTTTTTGGAGGTTTGGGTATTTCTTGTATTACAACAGTGCTACTCATATAACTTATGGTTTTACTTATGTATGATGGATTAAGTGAAGTTGTTTGCTCCATGGGTGATTCAAGCAAACTGCCTAAGTAGCCTTTGCCTTGTTTTAACCATTTATGTAATGGATATGAGATATTTATTGCCTATCTGTAGCACAGATTTTATAATGACAGCATCCAGACAATGCCAAGCAGTCTCCTTTCTAAGTAAGAATAGTATGCTGTCTCAGCTCCTGAATTCCATCTGATGACTGGGAGCATAGAAACCTTCACTGTGGCATTTCATTCTGAATTAGACAAAGGCTCAGATAACCAGCAACATGGAAATACCTGGAATTTATCTGAACACTAAATTTTAATGATAATAAAAAACAATGTTAATTAACATTGGTTAAACATATACTATGTGCCTAATAAGTGTTCTAAATGTTTTATATATATTAACACATTTAATTTTCATTGTAATCTTGTGAGTTAGTATAACTATTTCTCTTATACAAGTGATGGATCTGCTACTCAGAGGTTCAGGAACTTGTCAAGGTTACATTGCTATGAAGTGCTGAAGTGGAATAGCCTAAAATCAAAGCCCGAGGCTGAGTGTCACACCCCAGCTTCCAACCAAATAAATACAGGTGAGAATTAATTTCCATGTCCCCAGTATAGATAGTTTTATCCAGTTCCATTACTAACATCGTTTGTATTCCAAACTAAAATGAGGTAACTAATATGTGTAGCGGAAAAAGAGTAACCTGTCCTGAGCAGACAGCCTTACCTGGAGTAAAAACTGAATAGGGGATTGTTGCTTTGATTGGTTGATTTAAGACTGATTATGTGGTACTCAGTATAGTTTTATATTTATGATTGTTAAATCATTAGATAGTTGGTAATCCATGTATGGCATAATCTTAAATACATACAATATGAAATTGTAATATTTTATTTGACACCTATTTGTCATATTGCAGTTGACCATTAAATATGATTTTCAAAGTGTTCGGGAAGGTTTGGATATATTCTAAGATTAAAAGAGTTGAATAATATAAAAAATGTAATGAAAAACTTGTGTCAGAGATGGGTATTTCAGTGCCCTGCAGGGGAGGAATGTGTGTGTCTATGGCTACTGACTGGTGTGTTTTATGAATTCTGGCATTTGTTATTTTTATATATTGCATATATTGAGTAGAAGCTAAAAGGAAATATGTTTATTTTATTATTTTTTAAATATTTATTTAGTTTAATGTAAAGCGATCTTTTTCAGAGATAGATCGGTCCAGCAATGGATCAGGTGTCTCAAATGTTATTGAGTACCTCCTCACTGTTTGAGAATAGGCCTGATGATTGATTGTTGCCTTTATTATGGAGAGAATAGAAACTCCAACATGGCGATTGACCAACATATGTAAAAAACATCTTCAGGCCCTAAGATTGTTATTGTATATAGCTTTCTGCACTCACATAATTTGTTTATTACCCAATCAAAGAAGGACTGTTTCTAAACCAACTTACAAAGGTAAAAATCTAGCTGATTTTACAAAATGTAAATATTCATTTGGCTACTTTCTCACTTCCTCTAAAGGAAGTAAAACATACCTCACAGATAGTTCTGGTTTGATTTTCTCACTGGAATAAAGAAATTCACAAAGAAGTGAGCAACATAAATTTCTTAGTTTTCCAGTGCATATAAAAGTTATCTTTACACTGTGCTGTATTCTATTAAGTGTGAAACAGCACTATGCCTTAAAAAAAATGTACGTACCTTAATTAAAAGTACTTAATTGTTAAGGACCATTGAGCCTTTTGCAGCTGACTGATCTTGGTAATGGCCCTGAAGGTGAGGGTGGCTGTGGCAATTTCTTAAAATACAACAGTGACGTTTGCCACATTGATTGACTATTCCTTTCATGAAAGATTTCTCTTAGCATGCATTATTGTTTGATAGTATTTTTACCCACAGTAGAACTTTTTTCAAAATTGGAATCAATCCTGACAAACCATGCCATTGCTTTATCTACTACGTTTATGTAATATATCTAAATTCTTTGTCGTCATTTCAACAATATTCATAGCTTCTTCACCAGGAGTACATTTCATCTCTAGAAACCACTTTCTTAGCTTATCTGTAAGAAGCCTCCTCACTCATTAAAGTTTTATAATGAGATTGCAGCAATTCAATCAGATCTTCAGGTTCCATTTCTAATTCCCTCAGAGTCATCAACAGAGATTGGAATAAACTTTTTCCAAACTCCTGTTAATGTTATTTTGACCTCCTCTCATGAACCATGAGACTGCTTAGTGGCATCTAGAATGGTGAATCTTTTACAGAAGGTATTAAAGTTATTTTGCTTAGATCTATCAGAGTAATCACTATCTATGGCAGCTGTAGCCTTCCACAATGTATATCTTCCGTAATAAGACTTGTGACTTGAAATTACTTTTTGATCCACGGGCTGCAGAATGGTTCACGAAGTTCTTGTGCTTTGTTTTTCAGCTCCATCAAGTCGTTTATGTTCTTCTCTAAGCTAGTTATTCTAGTTAGCATTTCGTCTAACCTTTTTTCAAGGTTTTTAGTTTCTTTGCATTGGGTTAGAACACGTTCCTTTAACTCAGAGAAGTTTGTTAATTATCTACCTTCTGAAGCCTGCTTCTGTCAATCGTCAAATTCGTTTTTCCTTCAGCTTTGTTCCCTTGCTGGTGAGGAGTTCTGATCTCGTGGTGGGAGAAAGGTGTTCTGATTTTCGTTGGTTTCATTCTTCTTGCGCTGGTTTCTCCCATCTCTTGGATTTATATAGTTTTGATCTCAGGTAGCTGCTTGGGGAGGCGGCCTTTCCTTTGTCTGACTGCAGAGGCGCTGCTGGGCTGCCACAGGTTCAGTGGAGCTGCTGCGTCTTGTCTTTTATTTACTCAGGAAAGTTAGGCCGGCTCCTACAAATGGCAGCTGCCCCTTCCCGCCCCCGCACCCCCCACCCGCCCCTAGCTGGATAGCTCCTGGTCGCTCTTTAGGTGCGAAACTCTAGCGTGAGAGGTTTTTTCAGTCTGCTGGGCTTTGTCGAGGGGAGGCAGGGGGACCTGTCCCGCCGTCTGGGCTGTTTCCCTGTTTTCAGTTCCTCTTCCCTGTGAGGGGAGGGTAGATCCTTCCAGCTGGCTTTCTGGCTTTCTGGTCAGCCAGTGCTTCCGCATCAGCCAGTGTTTTCGCCCCGGCTCTGGCCGAAGTTGCTGTTCTGCCCTGTTCAGGCAGCTCGCTGAGGCTTTTCAGCCCGGCGAAGACCTGCTGTCCTGTGAGTTGTAGAGGGCCTGGGTGGAGCGCCGAAATCCCAGAGGGGGAGATCCCCCCGCCCCGTCCTCCCGTCGGTTGCAGGCACCTCTTGGGTGGGGCAGTGGCCCGCCTTGCCTCAACTTGCCCTACTTGGTTTATACGCACTGTTCATAACCAGACCCACAAAATGAACAAAATGAACCGGATACCTCGTTTGGAATTGTGGAGAGCACTCGGTTTCTGCGTCTCTCTCGCTGGGAGCTGCTTTCTGGAGCTGCCTCTCATTCAGCCATCTTGGGATGCCCTCCGTGGCCTGCGGATGGATGTTGGATTAGCAGGCATGAAGAAAACATAATCTCCTTGTACATCTCCATTGAGCTCTGGGTGACCAGGTACGTTGTCAATGAGCAGTAACATTTTGAAAGGAATCTTTTTCCTGAGCAGATCTCAGTAGGCTTCAAATATTCAGTAAACCACGCTGTAAAAAGATATGCTGTCATCCAAGCTTTGTTGTTCTATTGATAGAGCACAGGCAAGGTAGATTTAGATTAATTCTTAAGGGCCATAAATTTTCAGAGTGGTAAATGAGCACAGGCTTCAACTTAAAGTCGCCAGCTGCATTAGCTCCTATCAAGAAAGTCAGTCTGTCCTTTGAAGGTCTGATGCCAGGCACTGACTTTTCCTCTCTAGCTATGAAAGTCCTAGATGGCATCTTCTTTCCGTCTAGGAAAGAAGCTGTTTTTTCTATATTGAAAATGTGTTGTTTAGTGTAGCCGCCTACATCGGATTTTTAGCTAGGTCTTCTGGATAACGGGCTGCCGTTTCTCCATCAGCATTGCTACTTCATCTTATAGTTCTAGGTTGCACGAGGGGCTTCTTTCCTTAAACCTCATGAACAAACCTCTTCTAGCTTTCAAACTTTCTTTGGCAGCTTCCTCACCTCTTTCAGCCTTCATAGAATTGAAGAGACCGAGGGCCATACACTGGAGGAGGCTTTGGCTTAAGGGGATGTTGTAGCTGGTTTCGTCTATTCAGACCACTGAAACTTGCTCTGTAACAGCAGTAAGGCTATTTTCCTTATTATTGTGTGTTTACCGGAGTACCACTTTTAATTTCTTTCAGAAAGTTTTCCCTTGCATTTACAATTTGGCTAACTGTTCAGTGCAAGAGGCCTAGCTTTTGGCCTATCTTGGCTTTCAACATCCTTTCCTAACTAAGTTTAATCATTTTTAGCTTTTAATTTAAAGTGAGAAACGTGTGACTCTTCCTTTCACTTAAACATTTATGGGCCACTGTAGTATTGTTAATTGGCCTAATTTTAATATTGTTGTGTTTGAGGGAATAGGGAAACCCGAGGAGAGGGAAAGAGACAGAGGAATGGCCAGTCAGTGAGCAGTAAGAACACACACACATTTAGTAACTAAGTTTGCCATCATAAATGGGCAGAGTTTGTGGAACACCAAAACAGTACAATAGTAACATTAGAGATTAATGATCACATAGAGTGAGGTTTGGGAATCTGTATTTATTAATCGTAAAACCCTAGGTGAGTTTTCTGAGTCACTGTTTTCGTGCATATCTCACAATATATTCCTCAGAAGCTAAATGCTACAAGATATTTCTCAAAAACATTCCATAGTCAAATAAATCTGGTAAGTGTTTAAAAAAGAGAAAGAATACTAATCACAGATCACCATAACAGGTATTATCTAATGAAAAAGCTTGAAATATTGTAAGAATTACCAAAATGAAACACAGAGACGTGAAGTGAGCATGTACTATGGGAAAAAATGGTACTGATAGACTTGCTTGATGGAGGGTTGTCACAAACCTTACTTTGTATAAAATACATTATCTGTAAAGTACAACAAGGTAAAATGCAAGAAAAATTTTTAGTCGAGACATAAAGATGAGATTTCCCAATGTTGGTCAGGCTGGTCTCGAACTCTTGACCTCAGATGATTCACCCGCCTCAGCCTCCCAAAATGCTGAGATTACAGGAGTGAGCCACCGTGCCTGGCCCAAATGGACGCTAATCTTTAGCAACAGAAAGCAGATCCATGATTGCCTAGGGACTGAGGGAAAAGGGCAGGAGGGCTGGGAGGGAAGGATTATAGAGTTCAGAGAAGACTTTTGCTGGTGATGGATATGTTCATTTTCCTGGCTGTGGTGGTAGTTTTCTGTGTACGTCAAAACTTACCAAATTGTACACTTGAAATATGTGGCTGCTTATTGTATAGCAGTCATACCTTGATAGAGCTGTTAAAAATGCATATTGAATATGTAATCCAGTTCTTAGTAACCAACCTAATAATGATAACTGCTGGTGGTTACATGTATGCTATTGCCTAAATTGAGATGGAAAAGAATAGGTTGCAGTCTTCTTTATGGCACTATTCTATAGAAATAAAATGTCTAACTATAAAAGATTGAGTTGATCAGGACTTAGTTTTGGGCCCTGTCTCACTCTGAAATCTGTCTTTGGATTCCTATGGCTTAAAATACCCATATAAAGACAACTGCCAGTTTTTATCTCCAGCTGGCATCTCTCTTCTCAGCTCTAGCCTGTATTCCCATCATCTACTTATCCATCTTACTTTCTACAATGACATATGTTCTGATCTGCCCTCTCTCAGTGTTTCCTCTGACACTGCTTCCCACCACTGTGCTGGTATCACCTACCACATGGATATTCAAGTTAAGAGTAGGCACTAAATCTCCGGTTTTCTGCCCTTTACTCTTACTTCTAATCACTTGCCTCATTTCCTTTAACATATATCTCATGTCTCTTATTTCTGATGTCTATTTTGGGTTGCAACCCTATTTTAAATCTTCATTATCTTTGTTGTTGACATATTATATTATTTCACGACATGCAAGCCCTCATTATCAGCCTCACTCCTTTCTCTAGCCCCGTAGCTCAGAGTTCATTTCCTGGTCACTATGCTCTAGTGCAGTGGTCCTCTCATTAAAGATGCCTGTCCCCTCCTAAACATTAACTAAAATCCCATAAAGCTTCTATTGTGGTTTATATCCATCTATATTTATGGTATTAGATAAATCTGAAAGAATTTTAAAATACTTATTTAGAAATTCATTTAAAAATGACAGTCATGTTATAAATAACATTTTTATGAAAATAATTTAACAAAACAAAATAGTAAGAAAGGTAACATTGTTTTCCATCTTTCCAGAAACTTTAAATATCTGGCTTAGCAAAAATATAGCTAGATTCTCATATCTCCTTATGCATTCACTCTCCTGATGTTATAAATCACATAGACTCTGGTAAACTCAACAGTCAAAGCTAAGTGGATGAGAGTAAAAAGGCAAATAACATCTTATTAAAATTGTTTGAGTCCTGTCCTGAAAGTTTTAAGACACTCAGAGATTCCTGGATCAAACTTTGATGATCTCAGCTCTGGCAGCTATGCTGTTCCCCTTTTACCTCCTGGATATATCAAGATCTATCCACCTTAGAGTTTTTATCAAAATGCTTGATTCCTTCATTTCTTCCCCATCCTAATATACATTTTTTGGTGTCCAGAATAAACATTAGTGAGCCATATTTAAATCTCCATCTTCACCCCCACCAGGTAATGCCCCATTATGCATTTATAATAACTTCTTATTATTTTTAAAGTATCTTATATAATTATAAGCAGAGTATTTTATTAATATCTTAATTCAAAGGTAAATAGTGGCATCTGTATGCAAGACTAAAGGACATTAAAATTACTGTTGAGAATTATTAAATACCTTATTAATTTATAAAAACTTGACTCATGGGCACATATTTAAAAAGCCAAGCGTCTACCTCCTTCTTTTTCTTGTACCTTTGAGTTTTGGTCTTCCTGTGTCTAGAAATATGTAGGCCAAATTCATAGTTGCTAGTACAGAAATTTAAAAGGACTGAAATAATTTTTTTTCTCTCTTCTTGCCTGGGGCATATGGGCAAATTCAGTACATTAGAACAAATTGAATGCCTGTACAAATAATCCATTGTACAAGGTATTTGTGTGATAAATTCACATCTGTCTCTCACAATAAATTATAACTTTGTGTTGAGCCAAAGTATATCTGGTATATCTGTCTTGATCATTAGTGTGTTCCATGAGCCAGACATCGCCATGTAGGTAGAGTACTCAAAAGATATGCACTGAAAAATGAGTAGATTACTTCATCCCTATTCATGGGTGTTAGTTTCTAAATGTAAGTAGTGTTTTCTGATCCATTTCAATAGTTGTCTTTTTCCTTAACTAACTTAGCTCATATTAGATGGCAGCATGGTGCTTTACCTTGCATTTACTTTATTAGAAATGTTTAACTTCCAATAATCAAGGATCATATTTATCTTAGTTATTAATGGTCAACTGGTGAGCAACTTGGACTTCAAGATTTAAAAAAATCATCTTTATCATATGACACCAGAACTTTTGGTATTAATCATGCTTTCTATCTTCATTCACCAATAGAACATTCATATAAACGCCTTTTGGCTTGGCTTAAAAATATTTGAAAATTGGTCATTTTTTTCCAGTGATGTGTATCAGAACACCCAGGGAAAATATTAGAGGAAAATAACTATGTTCTAGTACAGTTACTTCAGTTGTAGTTATTACCATTACTGAACAGCAACTTTACCAAATGATTTTTAGAAAAGAACAAAAACAGTTTTACTTGTATTTCACTGAAGGTCTTAACTAATTTCCATCCCTCTTTGAGCTACATGGATGAGGAAAAAGGTAAATACACTGTCTGTCATTGTGTGCATTAGTATGTAAAACTTGAAGACTGAATGATCACATAATAATTTGAATTTCTTTTAAGTAATTCACATTAAAATTAGATTGTAGAGCTCTAACAGGCACAATAATGAAGGCCCATGAATTCAGAATTGACTCAATAAATGTTAAATATGTGATGGATTTGCTTTTTCTGAACACCTTCATATTGCTGATAGGCAGGATAAAAACAGAGAATGCAAGACCTTCTTTAGTCTTTTATTGATACACATGCTGTCTATTTGAATTACATCTTACTTAGGAAAAGTAGAGGAAGTATAGTCTTTGAATATTAAACAGTCCATTTTTCTCTTTTGTGTTTAACAAGAAAAATGAGGCCTTTATTATAGGATTGTATTAAGAATGACAAAACATATGGAGCCTTTTCTTTGAGGACAGCCATCTGCCTCAAAGTTGCAGCTTCCAGTCATTTTTTTTTTTTTAAAGAAACTGGTTTTCTTTTTGTTACTTAAGTAACTTCCAGAAATTTTCTAGACACACACACACAATTTCCCCCTCCCTCATGCCACCCTCCCACTTTCTAGACTTTCCTCCCTCCCCCGCCTTCCTTCCCATAAAAATGCATCGTATATAATGTTCTGTATATT